CAAAGGGCAATACTTACGTTCGTGGTGTACGATCTCTTTGTCGTCGATTTTTAAACCAATTACTAACTTGTGTTAATGTTAAACCAGTTTTTTTTGCTAATAAACGTTTTTCATCCGGTGTTGGATAACGATTTTGTCGATAACATTCTTTTAATGCTTGTCGAGATTTTTCTTTAAAACAATAAATTGTTTCTTCACCATCCCAGATAGATTTTGGTAATGGATATTTTCTTCGTATACGATATTTATCAACAGCACCTAATGGTCGTCCACGTATTTTTTGTGCTTCCATATAATGTGCTTTGTACCATAATTGTTGTAATTCGGAATGATGATGATTATCAAATGAATGTGTTTCTAATAAACAATATAATTCACGAAATTTTGATTGATGATAATATATAATTGCACGAGCTTTTAATATACTATCATGTTGATGTATTAATGCTGCATCAGGTGATGAAGATTTTAATGGTAATAATTGTAAAAGTTTGATTAATTTATCAATTTTACCACTTTGTTGAATAGCTTCACATACACATGCTAAATGATCGATTGTTAATGTTAAAGTTTGTTCAATATTATTTGTATTTGGTAATTTAAGAATAATAGGATTTTGTATAAGAGAATTTTGTGTAGTGGTTGGTGTAAGATCAGAATTTGATGAATCATCATTTTCAACTTTTGTTGATATATTTGATTGAGATATATAATGATTGGGATAATAAGTTGGATATAGATTTGATGATGTTGCAGGAAAATTATGATGATGATGATGATGATAATCGTATGTTGAATGATGATAAGAAGAACTTGTTGTACTCGATTTCATCATATTTAGAGAGATCTGAGATGGTGATATATAGACAGAAATTCTCGCCTTTCACGTACTCGAGTAATATGATCAAATGTATTGTATACTTTCTCTCTTTCGATGATAAAAGAAATGTAATAAAAAAAAATGATTGGCTAAAAAAACTGATTGGTTGAAGAAAAAAAGAGGAAAAAAATGATAATGTTCTCCTTTCTTTTTTTTTTTTGTCTTTCGCTATAATGAATGATTAAGTATGTTCTCATGAGAGATGAAAGAGAACTTGTAATTTTCCACTTAGGATGAACTATTTTGTAGTTGAAAAAAAATAATTTTTTCAAAATTATGGGAAAATTGAAGTATGCATATGGTATACATTCGATGATCAAGCGTATAGTTTTTTCTTACAAATTATACTATACTATTCTTGCTTAACTTAAATTCAGACTATAGCTTTGATTCTATTTTGAAGATACATACATGAAAGTTTAATATTGATTTTACTCTATAATCATACTTTATGAATAATTTTCTACTTGTCAACTGATACTATATCATTTTGCATTCAATTATAAAAACTATCTGAAATTTAATCTGATAGATATTCTCTATTTGCGACGAACATAACAATTTTTCTTATTATAGAATTTTTAAAAAAGAAATTCAATTAAAATGATCAAATATCATTCTATATTAGATATATGAATAATAAGTCATAAATATATATATTTTTCAAAAAAAAAAATTTTCTTTCGTAATATAATCTTTTCATTTTCAAGTTTATATCTAAATAGAACTTCTTTTTTTGTTGTTTAATATAGAATATGAATGGATTGGAAAATGATATGTCCTATAATCCACGTATAATTCAAGCTCATGAAAATGAATTAGCTGCAATGGCACTTAGTTTTACAGGCAATCTATTAGCTACTGCTTCCAAACAGGTATTTTAATCTAATAAATAAAATTATTTTTTGTTTTATTCCTTTTCGTTTCGAATAGGGTACTCTTATACGTGTTTTCTTAACCACAGGATTATGTGAAAAAATTGTTGAATTTCGACGTGGCTCTGATAGAGCTGATATTCATAGTCTTGCATTTAGTTTTGACTCAGGTTTTTTATGTTTATCAAGTGATAAAGGTACGATACATTTATATGGTATACGTGATCCAAAATTGAATCGAAGAGCTGCATTACCTCATGCATTAAATGAAGCTTTTGGTGATCTATGTAATTTTAAAGTCGATGATGAATGCGCATGTATATGTACATTTTCAGATTCAAATCATGTTGTTGCAGCAAGTTTAAGCGGTACATATCATAAATATATATTTACACCAGATGGAAAATGTCATCGAAATGAATATGACCTTTATTTAGATGGAGTTGACGGATGTGATTTTTAATAAGATTTTTCTATTTATTATTGATTTTGTTTATGTGTATATATATATATTTATATATTGTTTTCTTTTTTTACGAATATGAGATCCACAGTTTTATCTATAAGAAATAAACTAAACATTTGTTATATATTATATGAGAAATTTCAGTTTTCTACCTTCATCATAAGTTCTTAAATTTTCGTTTATTTACAAATTTATTAAAGATATTCTTTTTATAATACAGAACGTTTGAAAATACATAACTCAGGTTATTAGGAAAATAAATTTTGATTATAGAATGTCTCTAATAATTTCCGTCGTTTTTCTTTCGAAAATATTTTTTGTTTTCAATCAACTATTCTTAGTTGTTTTTGTAAATAATCCAGTGTTAAATTGCTTATCGGTGACCTCTTTCGATTTTGTATTCCATCAGTATTTATTGTCATAGTAAATTATCCAGCATGAATTTGAAAAAAATGGTTGAAAAGAAGAAAACAATTGAAAGTAATCAACTGCTAAGAAATGACACAACAAAAGAAAGAAAAAGGTCGACCATGCCATCATCAGTATGAGGACAACAGGAGTGTGTTTCATATTCAGATTATAAATAGTGTTAAAGACACGTTTGCAAATTTTTGTTTTTTCTTCTTTCTTTGTGTGTATATTAAAGAATTGATTAATGATTAAACATATACCAAGAAAAGTCAAGGACAAATATGAAATCCTTGGTATTGTTGGTGAAGGTAATTTTCTTGTATAAAATTTGTTTTTTTGTAAAATTTTATATTTAAAATATAAATAGGTGCTTATGGTGTTGTTCTTGAAGCTCGTGAAAAAGTATAATTTTATAAATAAGGAAAAAAAATTACGATTATCTGCTTTTGAATTTAGGAGTCAAATAAAACTGTTGCTATAAAATATTTTAAACAAACTCCTGGTTTGATATTTAATTAATATTTTATACTAAACAGTATAATCTATTTTTTTTTATTTTTCAAGGATATTTTAGTAAATTACATATTATTGAACGTGAATTAAATATTCTTCAATCACTTAGATTTGAAAATGTTGTTGAATTAATTGAATGGTTTCGTGATAAGAAACGATATTTTCTTGTATTTGAATATATTGAATCGGTTAGTTAAAATAACTTATTTTTTTGATTATAAATGTTTTTTGTTTTAGGATATGCTACAAGTTTTACAAGAACATCCTGATGGTTTACCATTAGAAGAAGTACGTCATTTATCACTTCAATTATTTAATGCTATACATTGGTGTCATAAACATGATATAATTCATCGAGATATAAAACCAGAAAATTTACTTATATCAAAAGATTCTATTTTAAAATTATGTGATTTTGGTTTTGCAAGATTTTGTAATACACAAACATCGGCAGATTATTATACAAATTATGTAAGATATTTTATTGAAAAATTTGATTTATATTTATTTAAAATAAAATAAGGTTGCAACACGATGGTATCGATCACCTGAATTACTTATTGGGTAATGATTATATTTAGTTTTCGAATAAGTTGAATGTGAAAAACATTTCATTTCTACCTGTAGTTCAGCTTATGGTAAACCAGTTGATATATGGGCATGTGGATGTATGTTATATAAGTTTTTTGTATTATTAAAAAGAAAATTTCTAATCTTTTAGGTATTATGGCTGAATTGGCAACTGGTCAAGCACTCTTCAGTATAGATATTCTTTTGTTTTCTAATACTTTTTAATTCTATAAAATATATTTCTTTAAGTTGGTGACAGTGATATTGATCAATTATATCGTATTCAAAAAAGTTTAGGACAATTACCAATAAAATACTTAGAAGATATGATAAAAAATCCAAAATTTGAAGGATTAAAAGTATATTTTAAATATACTTATTTATTTATTTAAAAATTATGTCATTTAGTTTCCTTCTCTTTATCAAACTGATCCATTAGAACCACGTTTTAGTCATGTATTTCCATCAGATATGATGAATTTATTCAAAGTAACAGAATTATTTATATATTGAAAAACAAAAAATTCTTGTATTTCATTTTTATTTCAAAGAATACTGTTCGTTTATGTGCTTCTGATCGTTTAACAGCTGAACAATGTATTCAACATGATGCTTTTCTTAATTTAAATAAAAAACGTTCTCAACAACAACAACAATCGTATGTATTTCAAATAAATGAAATTTTTTAATAATTTTATCTTTAAAAAAATATACTCTTTTATAGTGCATCTCAATCTGAAATTAAACAGAACACTGATATAATTTATAATACTATTGTACTTGGTGATAGTCATTTAAATAGATTGTAAAGTTTAATAATAACAAAATATTTGTTATTGTATTATTGTTTTTTTTTCTTTATAGACCTAATGAAACGAATGAAATTCAAGGTCGACATCGATCTTCATCAGTAAATAAAAATGTTAATACTGAAAGTACTCCTGATCTTCAATTTGCTTCTTCATCTTTTACTTCGTTACAAACAAAATATCGTAGTAATCCTCCACTACCTGATCGATCAGTATCATTTAGTCATCATCATCGACCAAAAATACTACGAAGACGAACAAAAACTCACTCAGCATCTAGTGATGAAGAAGATGCACCATCTATATTTAGTCCAAGAGCTTTGAATGAACCAAATAATGATACTATTGAAACAAATAATAATCAGCTAAGAAAAACATATTTTCAAAATTATCGATCAACACCATCAATACATGAAGAATCTACAACGCCATCATCTCCATCATTAAGATATGCTTCGAATGAAATTTTATTAAGACCTAAACAACAACCATTAATAAATCTTTCACAAACATCATCAAAAGATATTAATAAACGATTTAGTTTAGAACAAAAACAACATCAAATATCTGAACCATATCTCTATCGATCATCAATGATTATTGTACCGGAACATAATTCGAATGAATATATTTCTCAAATCAATAATAATCAAAATACTTCATTACCACTTCGACAAACACGAGAAGAACCAGTCAGTGAAATTCATCAACTACGTAATATGGTTAGTAAAACTAATTTGAAATAAATTTTTATTGAAACTAACTATGTGTTTTTGTAGGTACGTGAACATAATCGGAATGTATCTCGTAGTCAATCAGTTAATTATCATTCACCTGCAGAAAAAACAACTAGTTTTCAACGAACACCTTTAAGACAAACTGTAATTAGAATTTAATTAATGAAACAAAAAAAATATAATTTTTAATCATTTTTGTTTAGTATCGTCAAATGATTTCAGATCTATTAGATGAAATTGATACTGATTCAATGGGTTAGTCTTTAACGATTATATATGTATAAATATAAATATGCAGTCATTTTCGTATTCATATATAGTTTCAACATCGAATCAACCTAGTCGTAATTTTGAACAGCAACAACAACAAAATAATATATATTCACGGTAGGTATTTTTTACTTAAGCAATTAAAAAGAATACTTACTGATTATATTTTTATTATAGAAACCCCGATCAACGAAAGCATATTCATGGTAGTGATAGTCATTTAATGAGTTCAAGTGGATATAGTTCATCATTCAGTCGATCATCTGTAAATTTTGTAGTTATTAAATTTATTGCTATACATTTTATTCTATATAGTTTTCCACAACTAAACCTGATTATAAAAATACAGTAATTCCTCAGCGAGTAAGTGTTCAATTCAATAGAATTTAATTATTTTTTTCTATCGCAATAAAAAAAAGGATTCAACCACATCAACGAAAATACCTACAAAACAGAATGTAACCGTGTATCCAAATGAAACAAATCGAGTAACTAAACAAAAAAAAGATTTTCTCATTGTATTAATTTATATTATTTATAGAGACAACAACAAGAACCAACTAATAGTATATTTGGTGTGTATCCATTTGCTCGAACAGCTATGAAACATGTTGCTAATGTTTTCATGCCATCATCTCAACAACGGCAACCATCATCACGAATTTTAAATACAAAATCTCATCATCATGATCATTAAATATTATAGAAAATCTTGTATATTTTATGTATCATAAGTGAATTATTGGTTGCTACATAATTAATTATTTGAAATAGATTATTTTTAGTTTTATATAATATATATTTATTTTAATTTAACATCAAGAATGAGTGAATTTTGAAATAATTTAAAATATCTATGTCTTTATTTATTTAATTAAATCGAGAAGTAAATTTCGATATGCTTTTGTTTCATTTGTAATATTATGATATTTTCTAACATAATTTTCTGCTTGTTTTATTATTAAATGTCTTAGTTTTGTATTATTATCAAGTTCTAAAAGATATTGTACAGCTTCTTCGGGTGTATCAAAAATGAATCCTGTTTTTTCATGTTTAATAATACTTGTATTACCAATATTTCGACGTGCAAGTACAGGTATACCAAGTGTCATTGCTTCAAGTATAGCTAAACACATACCTTCATTAATTGATGTATTTATATAAGCAAATGATGTTCTCATTAATGTATGAACAAAACTTTGAGATTGACCACCGAGAAATGTAAGATTCGATTGAGAATAAGTAGAACGTATATATTCATTTAATGATTGATCATTTTCATAACCAACAAGAAAAAGATGATAATTATTGTTATTTAAATATGATAAAAAACGTATAACAAATAATGGATCTTTAACTGAACGAATTTCACCTATCCAAAGAATGATTTTTTTATCTGTAATTAATGGTAATTGTTCAAAATTAAATGATGATAAAAGAACACTTTGAGGAATAATTGTAATTTTACAAGAAAGATAATTTTTATATGTTATTTCAACATATTTTTTCCATTCATTACTAAAACAAACAAGACCACTTGCATATGGAATAATATATTCAAGTATTGGAATCCATTTTGGTTCACATGAATGTAATTCTGTACCAGCAAAAATTAAAATTAATGGTGGAAGATTATTTGGTTTATCTTTATAAATTGTTGTTAGAAGAGCTCCAGCTCGATAAACATGTAGTGCAAGAATAGCTGAATATTGTTGAATTGATGTTAAAAATGAATTTGATTCTGTATATGGTGTATCAACAGATACACAATCAACAATAAATTTATCGGTTGTTTGTAATTCATGAACTAGACGTGCTGATGTAGCTGCATTACCACTACCAGGACGTAATGAAGAAAGTAGAAGAATATGTTTTGTTTTATTTGATGATAATGTTAACGATGTTCTTATTCGTTGTAATAAATCTATGAATGAATATTTTGATAACATTTATAGTAATAATATATCATATTTAGGAAACGAATATAATAATAAAAAAGTGCGGGTATTTGATTTTATAGTTATATTAATTTTTCTTTTTTATATACTCCTCTCAGCGCATAAAAGTTGTCAATCTATGTCGTAATGAAAATATCGAGATCGAACTGATATCTTTTGTTTTCTGTTCTGTCGTACGATATTCAAACTATGGATTTTTTTTCATATTTCGAAATAATTAAAACGAAAAGAAAAAACTCATACCCATACCCTACTAAAATCGATTTATTATCTTGACAATTGTTCAAGAAGTAAAAGAATGAATATATAAAGGGTATTTTAAATATCATTTCAACAATGTAATCAATTCCATATGATCATGTATAAAGAAAAAGAGAAAATTACCATATACATATATATGTGAAGAAAAAAAGAAAATACTATATAATCATACATGAGAAGGAATAGCGAACGAATAATCCATAACATTCACTTACACTATTTAAAAAGAAATCGTGACCTTCTTTGCACATCATCTGCAAACACAATCATACTATCTTCAGTATCTTTCAACTTTGACATTGCCTATTTTATGTATTATTTTTGGATCTCTAGACTCCTTCTTTCGACGATGAACGTGCTAAATTGAAGGATTTCAATGGACGTGATGGTAAGTCAATGGTATGATTCTGTAATGCTTAACTAATTTTGTTTCTGTTGTAAGACAATTTTTCAAGGGGTCGTTAGAGTGTTTTATTAACCCAAACCACATTGACAATCCTCCACGTTCATATTTCATTATCCGGACGATACTCTTCAATTTATGATTCTGCACAAGAATTTTATAATAAGACGAATACCTCTGTGATTCTTCTGGTTGCCTCCGAAAAGAACACCTGGAATTGGAACTGTTTGACTTTAATTCATCCCGAAAAGTCTGTCCAAGATGGGTGTGGGTGGTGATCAGAGATGAAATACGGATGTTAGGACTTAGGAGAACAAGAAACTATGATAGGAGAGAGGGAATAGGGGGTGAGTTTGATTTCTTTGCTCTTACTCAAGGCTTAACACGAAGATCAGAGTTCTTTCTTTAATCCATTATTGATCGATTCCGAAGATAAAATTATCTGTGGAACAAACGGTTAAACTAATGTACAAAGAAAAAAACCCACAATCAGAAGAAATTCAACAACCATAGACGACAGTTATCAAATGATTTGCTAGAGCGAAACCTTATTGCTTTATACATAGAGACTTTCATCTTACATAACTCCAGAAAATTCTTTACAAAATCTATTATAGTATTCTCACTTCTGTAAAGAATTTTTTAGAGTTATACAAGATAAGATTTTGAATATGTGTTGTAATAATATTTCATACTAGTGATCTTTCTTATAAATATTTACATTTATCTACTTTTTTTTAATATTTATATTTTTGGGCTTTTTTCACTTTTAGATCGATGTACACACTCGAAGAATTAGTCGATTTTTATGCAAAAAAACTACAAAATCAAGATGAAAATTGTATCATCTTATTCCATCATATAATGCTGCACAAAAACTACGAAGCACTAAACGGGATTGTAAGAGCTAAACTTCTTTTTCTTCTCAGATTAACTAATAATGAGCTTTCTGCGGCTAGTATAATTAACTTTCTTTTTTAGAATAAACATTTACTCGTATATGATAAACAAGAAAAAGAAGCTTTAGATTTCAAATACAAACTGCCTGATGATGATATTGAAAGTGTGGGTGCGCGTATAACTATATGCACTCTCCGATACCCATACCCTCAAGAGTGATTTTACTAATAACTATAATAATGAGAAACAACAAGAATTTAAGATCAAATACACATTTAATAATGAATACATTTAAACAGTGTACTACTTTGTCGGTGACCTATACTACATACGATTTGTAAGTAACTTTTATTATAACTACAATTAGAACAATTATGAAATGTTTTTATAGATTACCAAAACAAACACAACAACATCACATTTTCCAATAAAAAAATGTTTCAATGAAGATGGGTGAGAAAGTAAATTACTTTTTAAATTTTTTTTTTGGAAGATTTTATTTTAAAGATTTATAGGGGAGAATGAGTGAGCATATAACTGTTGCAGTCGTAGCCAAACGCACACCCACCCCGACTTGGAAATCAAATACGAACTGCCTGATGTTGATATTGAAAGTGTGGGTGTAGGTATAACTATATGCACTCTTCGATAGCCACACCCATATCCACACTCGCACCCATCGAAAAAAATACTGATGTTTTGTATAAGGTGAGAGAAATTTACTAAATTATTATATAATTGTATTCTTAAAAGTTAGGATAAAAATTTCATGCAATTATCGGCTCATTCTAATCGAAAAAAGTCTTTACGGTACAAATACAGTAATACAGAATTTATTTTGATTGTCACTGTTAATTCAGGAGTTATTCGTGTGAACATCGAAGTAAACACATTATTGTATGTTAAAAATATATGATTAAAATTGTTTTATTTAATTTAGAATAACAAAATACGATGGCCGAATGTCAAAATCGTCGAACAGTTCAATATGAATGAAATTGAGTAATGTATAATATTATACATAAATAAACATGAATGTAATTTTTGTTTATTATAGATTAACCAGTAAAGATAACTTTACAAAAACTATTGATGATATTACAAATCGTATCATTATAATTAAAAATAATAAATGAATCTATTTTAATAAGATTACATGATGTATAAGTCATTAGAATTGTTTGCCAAGTAAAACTATGAATAAGAAGAGTCTTTGAAGATGTATCTTGAATAAGAGTTTTAAGTGGTAGTGGTGGATCCATAGGTGATAATGGACAATAAACTGCACCACTTGATAAGATTGCTAACATACCAATAATCATTTCAAAAGATCGTTCAACACATTGACATATAATTTCATTTGATTGAATATTATCAATTAAATGATTTGTTAAACAATACAAAGAATATAATAATTCACTATAAGTAAGTGATTGTTCATTAAGTTCAAGAGCTGATTTTTGTGAATATAATTGAGTTTGTTGAATAAAATATTCGTGAACAGTATTGGACCATGAATATAATGTAGATATATCTGTATTATTTATTTGGTGAATAAATTCTTGTTCAGTTCGAAGAACAACCTCCGACGATGAACTTGCTAAACTGAAGGGTTTCAATGGACGTGATAGTAAGTCAATGGTATGATTCTGTAATGCTTAACTAATTTTGTTTTTGTTGTAGGACAATTTTTCAAGGGGTGGTGCGAGTGTTTTATTAACCCTGACCACATTGACAATCCTCCATGTTCATATTTCATTATCCGGACGATACTCTTCAATTTATGAGTCTGCACAAGAATTTTATAATAAGACGAATATCTCTGGTTTTGAGGTGAAGTCTCACCATGTTATCCTTCGTGCCAAAGAACAAAACGAACTGCCACCATTGCCGAGCGATCCTGCATCTTATTTAGGTATACTATCTATTGTTTTATTTGAACTAATATATCGATTTTTCTGTTCTTTAGGTTCACACCTCTGTGATTCTCCTGGTTGCCTCCGAAAAGAACACCTGGAATTGGAATTGTATGGCTTTAATTCATCTCGAAAAGTCTGTCCAGATGTAATATTGGTGGTGGTCAGAGGTCAAAGTACGGATCTTAGGACTTAGGAGAACAAGAAACTATGAGAGGAGAGAGGGAATCGGGGTGTGGGTTTGATTTCTTTGCTCTCACTCAAGATTTAACACAAACGTCAGAGTTCTTTCTTTAATCTATTATTCATTGATTCTGAAGATAAAATAATCTGTGGAACAAAAGGTTCAACTAATGTACACAGAAAAAATCCACAATCAGAAGAAATTCAACAAGCATAGACGACAATTATAAAAAAAAATTCGCTAGAACGAAACCTTATTCCATCATATATACAAACTTTCATTTTGTATAACTCTAAGAAATTCTTTACAAAATCTTTTATAGTATTCTCACTTTTGTAAAGAACATTTTTTAGAGACACACAAGATAGAATTTTGTATATGTGATGTAATAAGATTTCATCCTAGTGATCTTTCTTATAACTATCTATATTTTTCTAGTTTTTTTTCTACGTTTGGATCCATGTGTACACTAGAAGAACTACTCGAGTTTTATGAAACACAACTGCAAACTAAAGATGAACAATGTATCATTTTATTCCATCACATCATGCTAAACAACAACTACCAAGTGCTAAACGGAATGGTAAGAACTAGCTTTTTTCTTCTTCTCAGATCAACTGATAATGAGCTTTCTGCGACTAGTATAATTAACTTTCTTTTTTTTAGGAAAAACATTTATTCGTATCTGACCAATAAAAAAAGAGGATTTGGATCTCAAATGCAAACTGCCTGATAATGATACTGAAGGTGTGGGTGTGCGTATAACTATATGCACTCTCCAATACCCATACCCTCAAGATACTATTTCACCATAATATGAGTAATAAAAATTTCGAAGGCATAAATGGAATAGTAAGAACTAACTTTCTTTTTCTTCTCATATCAATTAATAATTAACTCTGTTTTTTAGAACAACAATTTATTTTTATACAATAATGAAGAACAACAAGAATTTAAGATCAAATACACATTTAATAAAGAATACATTGAAACAGTGCATTACTTTGTCGGTGACCTCTACTACATACGATTTGTAAGTAACTTTTACTATAACTACAATTTACCCACACCCACAACCACCATCACCCACACCCACCCACCTTCACCCAGACCTTAAAAAGTCTTATCACGATTTTCAATCAACGAATGTTTTGATAAAAAAGGTAGGAAAGTAAATTACATTTTAAAAATTTTTTATTCAAGATTTTATTTTAGAAATTTGAAACGCGATGGTGAAGTTGCCACAAAAATAAAAAATAGCATTCATAATGCTAAACGTACTCCAGCTACTGCACAACGATTAAACCAATATAACATGGTTTTCTTCGATATTTCAATAAACAATAATGAAGTTGATCGTATTCAATTCGAAGTAAGATAGATATGTTTTTTCCTTGAAATAATAAATTCTATTTTTATAGCTGTTTCATAATACCACACCAATTACAGCAGGTATATTGGGCAAAAACATTTCTTTCATTAGAAAATTTCTTTTTTCTTAGATAATTTTCAAACTCTGTACAAGTGAAGATGTTTTGGTTATCAAGGAATTCAATTTCACCGAATAATTCCAGAATATTTAATCCAAGGTAAAGATTTACTGTTTCCACGAAAACTTGCAAATACTACGAACCGGCCGTTTCCATGTCGGATTGTCCGATCTGGATTAGAATAATATAACTGGCCTGAACTATATCGTCGACAAAACAGTGCAGATAAATCGGTTCATCAATCTGAACAAAATTCAAATCAGCTTGAGTGAGATATAATGATATTATATAAAAATAAAGATGAATCTAATTTTCGTTTACTACACGTTAACAAGTGAAGAAGATTTCATCAAAATTATTAATAAGATTACAAATATTATTGTTAAACATCTGGAAAATTTTGAACATGCTGTTGATGCATTTATCACTTTACATGAAGTTGTTGAAGAAGACAAAGAAGGAATTGTATCGCCAGAAGAACCTGAAATCTTAAAAAACTAACACAGAATTAATGACTTTTTTTGTTAGAAAAAAAAAGAAATAGATTTTTTACAAATTTTTCGATAATAAAATAAGTCAAAATTTTCCATTTTCTTTTTATATTCAAGAGCAAGAATAGCGTTCAACATTACAAATACTTCTGATAGTAACGAACAATATACATTTGAAATATATTGGTACTCTAAAATCTAGAAAACAATCGAGATCTGATGGGCAATCAAATGAATAAATCGATAAATAATGTAGTAAAATTCAAAATAATTTTTTGTAAAAAAAAAAGACAATTCATTCTGTTGGTTGATTTTTTCTATTCTTCAGTAGTTTAATACATTATCGAAGGATTTGGCGTAGCTACATGACTTTAGTCTACACCCACACCCTTCAGAGAAACACAAAACTGAGTATGAAGTAATATGAAAAGATTTATTGAAGAATAATAAAAAGTAAATATTAGGTATCAGAACACAAAAATATAAAAAGATTTTGAAATACATAGTCGTCTATATAATGTGTAGAAATAATATGAAAAAGATGATCCTTCTCGGTAAACTGTCTTTTGTCATTGTTATGACTATTTTCGTAAGCTAAAGAAGTAAACGAAAGATTATGTTTTAAAATATTAAATTACACCTCAGTGGAATGTGCGCCACTGTTCACGAGTAGTGATGAACGTCGTCGTTCGGGAGAACTCGTAATTTCACCTGAATATCCTGGATAAAGTAAATCATTTGAGAGCAAACCATGGGTTTGCAATGGAAAATGAACTGTAAGATCAGTATCTTTACTACAAAATTCTTCATCTTCGTACATCCATGAATAGGCCACCGTCGATGAATTAAGAAGAATTTCTGCTTCACTATCAAAGATTTGCAGTTGAATAGATTCATACGTTTTTTTTTCATTATTCGATAAATGAATAACGTTGCCGGCAAGAATAAATAATCTTTGATTCTCTTTCAGTTGAATCGATATTTCCGATTGATTCCAATAAAATTTTGCTCGTTGATGCAAAAGTAATCTAACCTGCAAACGATTCAATGGCACACGTTCTTGGTAACTATTAGTCAAGATATGTCGAGCAATTTCACGATAGATGGAAGGAGCTAAATTCTCATCGTTTAAAAATTGATTCAATAATGTATTATCGATACGATAAGCTTCCAAAAGTCCACCACTGACAAAATAAGTATCATGTGCTGTTAGGTTTTGTGAGAATAAAGCATCGATTCCGATAATATTACCCGATCGATAATAGATGGGAACTGTATCTATGTCACATTGAACAATACCTCGAACGATAAGATAGGCAGTCGATACTGTGTCACCCTTTTTAATTAGAGTTTTATTTGGTTGAAACCATCGATGTGTTGGTTTCATAATCGCTTTCCAACGTCTGTATTCAGGAACAGCTAGTGATTGAAAGAATGGTAATAAGTCAAAGGCATTTTTAATCGCTTTCACATGACCTTTTGGCATTTGAACACGATAGAATTCGAGACTAAACAATTTCTTTTCAATTAATTCGTTGATATGTGAATATATACTTTTTCCAAGCATTCCCGTTTCATAAAGTTCAGTGATCATCTTCAGTTCATATTTGAGTAATATTTGAGCACATCGTTTTGTCATATGAATTTGCCAACACAATTCATAGGATTGTTGTATATCGAGAAGAATATAGGTAGCAGTAACATGATAGAAATGAATTTCTTGATAAACTTCGTGCCAAATTCGTTCATCAATTTTAGCCAATTCAGGAAATTGCTTTTGAATATTATCCATACGAGTTCGAGCAGAATGAAAAGCTACACGATAAAGAAATGATTTTTCAAGAAAATCAAACAAATCATTTTTATTTCATTACTTACCGAGAGTCAATTCAATGGTGAGAAAGATATGATCAAATAATAATTTATGCGACTGTTTTTTAATGCAGTCGATACCATTAAATCGCATAAGAATTTTCAGCGATCTCGATAATCGAAAATGTTCAACGATTAATTGCCAATGAACTTTCAATGAATGCTGATGTTTAGCTTTTTCAACTGATTGAATTAGAATGTAGAGTGTTCGTCGACGAATCATCCCAAGAAACCATTGTTTTTCATAGTCAACTAACAATGCTGTGAGAAAACGAGTAGTTAGTTCATTTCGAAAGTCCACATTTTCATTTTTATTTTTATCACTTGACCCCATATCAATAGTTGACCATACGATATGTCGAAGAGTTGAATACTGTTGGCCCGGAGTGAAGTTTATCGGAATACTGTCGGTCTCACATATACTCGGAACTGATTTTAATTCAATATCTTTGACAGTACTTTTTTCATGAACATCTTGCAATATATTATCAGGAAATTCTGGTAGAACGGAGAATCGGCGATGAACGGAAGTTCTTCGTTGTGCATCCATTTCTTGAACTAATGTTTCCGGTAAATATTCGTTGAGCATAGTCCAATCGACATCAGAAAATTGTTTTTCCTGTTTCATCTTATGCAGTTGTATCGCTGTTTGTTTACGCATATGTTCGAGAGCTTGTACTAAAATGCGTTCACTTTCCGGTGTCCCTGAAAAAGAATAAGTTCATTAATACATCGAGAATAGTATGTACATACCATGATCTACACCAAGAAGTCTTACTAAGAATTTGCTGCTTGTTCCATTGATAATTAGTGTGAGAAGGGTAATCATGCATATATGAAAAAGAAAACGATGTCTCGTTTCAATATCGATCTGTTCTTCAGAATCAACCATCAAAGCTAAAATGACGGACATACTTCCTCTTAAACCGCCCCAAACTAAAACCGTATATTCTCTCCAAGATAGATGCACACCACTCCAACGTATAAAAGGATAGAGAATTAGGGCAGACGATAGACGTGCGAGATGAATAGCAATATACAATAGAATAGAAAATCCAAAATCATGTATAATAATAGTTGTTTTAGTGCCGATCAATGAGTGAGCTAAAATAATACCAGTAATGATAAAAATGAGAATATTTGCAAAATCAATAATGATGCGCCAAGTATTAGCCATTGGAACTTGCACATGACTACTAATACAATATTTGTGTTTGGCCATAAAAAGTCCCATGACCACCACTGCCAGGACAGCTGAAACACCTATTTCAACGTCAGCAACATAGAATATCAGATACGCAAGACCAAAAGTCGATATAATTTCGACTTCAGGTTCATTATGGATCAGATTGAAAACGATCACGGCAACGATGCCACAGGCAATACCAAAAGCTGGACCACCTAGAATATTAGCAAATAACTTTAGAATCTGTGTCATGACAAAAAACAATTATAACCCAACTTTACTGACCTATAGTGAACTTGGCGATATCGATAATAATTTTCTTGGCATTATCACTTTTGCCGACGACAATATCTCGAAAAACCATGAAGATGACAAAAGCGGAACCATCATTCAATAATGATTCAAGATCGATCAATGCTGCTAGTGATTTACTTGCCCCTGATTCGTGTAATAATGCCACAACAGCAACGGGATCTGTTGCACTCAGAATACTTCCAAACATTATACTAACTAACCACGACCAATGATAAGGAAATATATAGACACCAAACACTGCAACGATAGAAGTAGAAATGAGTACACCAGGACCAGCGAGAAGTATAGCAGATAGGATGTGTGGTCGAATAACATGAAAATGGCTGTTAAACGCAGAGTCGAATATGAGTAACGGTAGAAAAATATAATAAATAAGATGAGGATTAATTTCTCTTAATACTTTTTCACCAAGTAAAAAATCATTGGTAACTCCATAAATATGGGCTATAATCATACCGATACTGAAGCCCAAAATGAGTACGATCACTGTAAATGGAGCAGGAAATTTATTTTTCAATATTTGTGAAAGTATTAATTTGCATACACATCCAGCCAAGACAGCAAATGATAAAAATAAAATCACTGTACCAATCGCATGTTCTTCTCCAACATGAGAATTTATCGTACTATTATCGATTACAGTCATCTAGAAACGATAATGAGAGATGATGAATTAATTCAAGAGAATTATTCATAACACTCAGTTGACGAATACAAAAGTTATAAACGATTGTACTTCGTCGTAATACATGACTCACGAACATTTAGTAAGATAGTTCGTCACAATTGCATTGGGCAAATCTTCTCTCTTAAAACATTATTTAAAAGAAATTAAAACATACATATAATCATGATCACCACGTTAAATTATACTAAACGATATACAAATTATATATTTTTTTACATTCTGCTCTATTGTGCATCGTTGACGTCTTACCTTTCATGTATTACTGCCGACTGTCATAACGAAAAAATAATGAGACATACACTGAAGTAAAAAATGTGATGTAGAATTTGACAAGCACGTCACGATCATTAAAAGGTCTATTACTTCGTAATGTGTCCAGAATGTATAGAAAGAAAAAAAAAGAAGAACCTTCGTATGTGTGAAACACACGTTGAATAGTAAGAAGGAAAGAAAAAGTTACTTTTTTATGACGACAACGTGCGCTAGTTGCCAACACTTGTCGTAGACTTTCTTTCCAGTTCTTCTCTATTTCTTTTTATGACGTATCACAGAATTTCTGCCATGCGTAATGTGGTTGTATTCAGCGTGCTGTCATGAAGAGAATATTGAAGGTCCTTATATTTTATGTAAGAATAATAAAATATTCCACCTCAAGCGATACTTATACTTTTGTCTACTGCATATGTTCTCTTCGTTCTCAACACATATCCTTCTTCAAAATTCGAAATGTGATAAAAAACTGACTTTTAATCACTGTATGACTGCATCCAAAATGAACACACCTTATGAATTCAATGACATGAATAATTTATTTTGTCGTTCTTTCACCGCCATTTCTGTGTTTGCATAGAATACATCGTGTCGTAAATTATTCACCTCAAAGAAAGGAAAAAGTACATTTTGACAGAGTGCAACACTCAAAAAAGTACATTTATTTATAATTGCATTATTGTCAGATCTACACTTCCACTAATACCCTTTATTTCTGCTACGTTCAAACAAGATACAAAGAGAGCTATGTTAAACATTGTAATGAATAAAACTAAAATGAGAAATGTTATGTAATATCTCTACTGATTTTTAATTTACTTCAGAATATCTCGGAATAAAAAGTTGATAATGGAGTAGATGCCTAATTCGACTTATAATATAAATGCACAATTGCATATATATATCTATATACCTATCCATCCATAAAAGTTTAGGGATTTAGGAATAAATATTCTTTCATTTATATTTATAAATTTATATATATACCCCCTACCTATGTAAATTTAGGAATTTGTATTCTCTAGTTTTATAGATATATATGTATAATTATAGATAGATAGTGATAGCGATGTGAGTGTTACGTGGGAATGCTGTATTTTCGAAACAGATCAATAGTCGAGGGTATGTATGTGGACGTGTATGATATGAATACAATATCCACAATCACACCGCTTTTGAGCTCGAGGCCTACTGTGTACACATTTTCGGCGGCTAAAAATCAATGATAGTGAGTGTTATGTGAGGATTTTGTATTTTCGTGACAGAGCTACTCTCTATCGCTAATACCGTAGTATCATTAACACCGTCACATTTCTTACGCACATAATATCATTTATATATTTATAAATATAAAAAAAAGAATATCTATTCCTAAACTCTTATACTTACATGGGTAGGGGGTATATATATATATATATTTATTTTTTTATTTTCGAATTGATATTAGGCATTAGATGTCCATTTATATTATAACTCGAATTAAGCATCTCATGATTCATTTGCTGATAGGAACAAACATATAAGAGAAGTGATGGACATCTTTTTGAATGACACCCCTTTTATCTATTTCAATAATACGTGATGTTCTTTCTCTATTTTGTTATGTTACTGGCAACTTTTTCTTTTAATATGTTATCTTTCAGTTCATTTTTCTTCTACGCTTTTGTCCTTCACCCTTTCTAATCCTTCTCTCCATCCTTGAAAATACAAAAAAAAAGATAATAAGAGTTGAAGGTTAGTAGATATAGTTGGTCCATATATAAAAAATATAGACGAAAGGGTCCACAGAGTGTTTTCAAGGTCCTTGTGAATTGTGATGATTAATACTCGAAAAAGGAATAGAGTCTGAACCATAAATATAATTGAGAAGTTGTCAATATACGAAGAGGATTTAGTGTGTATTTTGCCGTGTCAATTTGATACATTTGTCATTATTTTTATACTTTATTCAATAAACAATTATAGTTCAGTGTTGTCTGAACATTCTGAACTATCTCTGATCTTACGACTTACATCTATTCAAACTGCAAGCTGTTTTTCTGTTACAGTGATTATGCTATGACTTTTTTATTTTTATAAAACAAATTCTTTGCAAGACACCCAGCTGAATGTTTCCTTTGTCCATTGATGAAATCAGTTTCTCAGAACCTTCTAAATTGGCATATCCACAAGATATCCTTTAGATTCCGTTTTCGATTCTGCATTCACCCCAATAGTATCGGATACAGAATCTCACTTCTTTCAGCTGGGTTTCGTACGGGTGTAGGAGTGGGTTGACTGAAGATGCACACCTGCACCCCCAAATCCATGTGAGTGTACCTATGAATTAATTCTACTGTTGAGTCCGAAATGATTTTGACGAAAATTTAAATTTATTAGAAATTGTAAACGTTTAAAATATTTACAAATAGAGTTGAAATTGGTAATTTGAGAAGTCTAGAAATTCAAAGGTGTCTAGATGTCGACTCTAAATTCATGACAATTGTACTTTTAAATTTTGGTAAAATCATATTCCACCATGAGGATGTTATATATTCATATTGAAACTTAAAATGGTAAAGATAATTTAATTACTTCGGTTTATCAATCAGTTCAAAATTCGTAAACTGGTCAGATGCTTATACAATATACTCGCATTTATTTACCCAATGTACGTTTATAAATAAGCTGGATTTATAAACAGGCCCGATTTACAAATACCAAAAATATTTATAACTATTTTAAGTTTTCGTCTGAGAAATTTATGATTTATAAACCAATACAAATAATTCGATTTATAAATCACATACTTTAGGACTCAACAGTGATTAATTCAGCGGACATTACCCATATTCATACCCCCAAGACGGCAAAATCTTTATGATTTTTATTATAAGAATATTCAATAAGTTTATTGAGTGAGTTCAGAAAAAGAAAATAATTAGCAGATTTTCAAGAGAAAAAAAGGTAATACAACATACTATTGTCAATCAAAATCCAAGATAAATAAAATATACACATGATTGTTTCGTTATTTGTTAAATTGTCTGAATCCATTTATTAATATTATCAAGTGTATTTCGTGCTTCAGAATAATAAAGAAAAAATACAGGATATATATGTGTCATATGTAAACCTTCTTCAAATGTCACATCAACATTTGCTTCTTTAGCTTTCTTCCACACGCGTCTTGAATCATCTTCCATTTTTTCTGCCGTACCCACATTGATATACATTGGTGGAAATCCCTTGAATGAACCAAACAACGGACTAAACCGAGAATCATCAGGAGATAATTGAGCATGGTTAGAGCCCAATAATAGTGCTATATACCAATTCTTATCGAACTGAGGTGATATATCAGTATGCTTATTACGTATATAACTTTCACTAGACATCGAAAGATCAGTGACTGGTGATAGAACAATAACACCACGAGGAACAGGTAATTGATGAGCGATTAGAGCTTGTACAGCTAACAAAGCAAGACCACCACCAGACGAGTCACCCATTACTATCAGTTGAGATGAGGAAATGTTCTGGCGAAGAAGTGCACGATAAATTACAACTGCATCATCAACAGCGGCAGGTAATGGGTATTCAGGACAAAGTCGATATTCCAAATGAAGTATAGTAACGTTGAAAATTTGAGATAGACGACATTCAAATCCACTAAAACCTATTAAAGTATAAAACAGAACAGGTCATTTTCTCATATATTAGTTATTATCAAACAAAAGTGGTCTTCTGCTTAAGGATATCAAATTGCTTACTATGAATATCACCCAAAAAATATCCTCCACTATGGAAGTAAAGTAATATTTTATCAGAATGTTTTTGAATATCTTTTGGAGGATAATTAACCCAATATCCATCGACTACATGTCCATCGTGTTCGAACACTTCTTTCTTGATTTGACATTCAGATGGTTTAGGAATTAGGGAATTCATATCGAAAGAAGAACGTATTCCTTTGATTACAGTAAGTGGATCTGCTGATGTATCAAGTTTTGGAGATGGCATCATTTTCAACATATTTTCAAAAGCCCGATAATTTGTACTAAGTGTTGGTCGAGCTTGATCTGATACGAGAGAGTGTTTCAATGTTAGTATTGAATGTAATAAACGAACACAAAGATATTTTGGATCTGTTGAACCATATCGCAAAGGAATAGCAATCGCCATAATTAAAATAAATAAGACCAACTTCTTCAGAAATCCAACGACAGTATTTAGAAACGACATTATTAGATGTACCTAACGAGAAAATGATTTCTTATTTTCATGATCCTTTCTTTTATTACTTACTTTTTGAAAAAAACGTGTATTTTTTTTTCTTTCGTTAGTTTGTCGACATTTATATACCGCATGTTATTCAAGGTAAAATAATACGCGTTCTGTACATTACGGCACAAAAGTACGATAGGTCACATGAAAGAATATTACATCACATAAATTCCTCTTGTGAAATAACGAAATCAACAAAACTTTTGATAAATCTTAACATAGTATTGGAAGACTCATTCAAGAAAGTCTTCATTTGACATCCACACCAAGATTTATTAAATTATTTTTATATTGATCCATAAATATAGTTTTGCTTGATAGATAGAATTCTATTTATCTCCGTAAATCTTTATGCAAGAGCATTTTGTTGAATGTTCCGATAGAAATAACAATTGATTTATTTGCTTAACATGGCAAATAAATGACAAGACTGTTTCATTTCTTCATCAGCATCAAAAGATATATAAGACTTATTAAATATATTAATATTTTTAATTCCTTGATTCACATCTTTGAATAATTGTTTGTCATGAATTCATGAGGAGAATTCAGTTCGATAAATTAACAATTATTTTCATAGGTTCTATATATTTTTCCCATTGCAAAGGATGATCAATATCAAACATTCGATATTCTAAAGTTAATGATGTAACACACGGAAAATAATATTGACCATTCTTTGATATTGTCAAATACATTAATATTTTCTCTCAGTTGATTCCAGTATTTTTGATTAAATGAATGTATTTTATATATATTTTGTATATAAGGCATAGTATAAACTATTGGAGTATAATTATTTAATACATATTCAGTAAACCATTTATGTTATTTTAATGAAAAATCACTCTGAAATTGTTTCAGTCATCTATTAATAAAATTTCAAGGACTACAAATCTGAAATCGATGTGAGATAATCCATCTGTTTTTTTTCTTGCACAATTATATATTTCTTCATTCTCGATTTTTAAGCATAGAGCCAGTAGACTTAACAAAAAAGGAGAAACGACAAAAATAATAATAATAATTATCATTGTGTTAATATTTTCCTTATTTCAATTTAGTAAGTCTTGTTGAATTTTGATTTTTTAAATCTAAGAATCCTTATAATAAGAAGTAATTTAGTTTGATCTTACATTATTGAATAAAGTGTTTATTGATATCTGCATTTTCTTATTTTAGTGAAATGAGTGGACTTAGTAAAGAAAATTATTTAAATCGAATAATTCCTCCTGGTGTAAAAGTGAAAGATATACCAATAGTGAGAGCAACAAACGAGTCGTTAAAGGATGTTGGATATCTGATTACTTCTCCAAATGATGTTACTATACAAAATGGTAAATTTGATATAGTTCCATGGCCTACAAAAGGATGGAGAGCACTTGACCCAAATACAGGAAATGAAGCTGGAACAACTGAAGGATCGATGGATATTTATTGGGAGGATGATCGTTTATATGGAAAAAATCATGCTATAGCTACTGATTCTAATCACTATTTACTTGGATATGGAAATTTACCAACGGAATCTACATCATTATCTGACTCAAATAAAAGTAAATCATCGGATATTTCATCTGTTTTTCTTTGGTATTCCGATTATCATCCTGATGGCGGTCAGCTGTTCTTTCCCACCAATGGTAAACCATTCATTTCAAATCTAGCTCCAGCTGTTGGTGATGATATTACACCTGATCATTTCACTGCTTTTTATGTAAGTGAGGGGTATGGTTTATATATTTATCCAGGTGTATGGCATAATGCTATTTATATACATCCATCTCATTCTCCAGTCTCCTTATTTGGTCGTCAAGGTCGTATCCATGCTCGTATATCTGTTGACTGGGTGAAAGAATTTAATACTGTTTTACGTGTTCCTCTCACTATTGCAGATAACAAATAATCATTATTTATCTTATCTCCTCTTACTTCGTATAAAACTAAGACAGAACTGTACTAGTTGTCGAAAATACCTTTTATTTTGATAAATAAAAATAACGGATGATCTAAAACAAATTATATTAAATTCTGATGCAATTTTCTCTTACTTTTATACCTTTTTTAACAAATGAAAAATCTGTAGAGAATGAAGATATGTTATTAGTTTAATGAATTTTGGGAAGCTACA